CACAAGGAGATACAACCAGGCCATCCTGAAGGAAATCAGTCCTGAATATTCATTGGAAAGACTGATGCTGAAGCTGAAACTCCAATACTTTGCCCACCTTATGGGAAGAACTGACTCATTTGAAAAAACCTTGATGCTGGGAAAGATTGAAGGAGAGAGGAAAAAGGGTCCACGGAGGATGAGATGGTTGAATGGACATGAGTTTGAGTAAACTCCAGGAGTTGGTGATGGACAGAAGGTGTGTCATGCTGCAGTACATGGGGACACAAAGAGTCGGACACAACTGAGCGACTGAACTGAACTGAGTCTGGTTGGAGGTGGTAGTCTGCTCTGTAAATGAGTGTCCACTTTGTGATTTGGGGGTGGGGTTAGGCAGATAACACTGCTGCATCTGTGGAGTCTGTGAGCAAGGATTTTGTTGCTCAGTCTGCTTTACATGAGCATCAGTAGGCTCCTTCCTGGACAAGGTTTATCAATAATAATTTGCATGTTATATCCTTGTGTTATTTTTTTCTTGCTAATTATGCTGCTTCTAAATTTCCTACAGTAGTTCAGTTTCCTCCCTTGATCTCATAAAAATGAAGTACTTTAATAATCTCAGCCCCAACCTGGCACCTTCTTCTTCCATGATCTCTTTGTAAAGGACCTAAATTTGTGTGGCCTCAGATCCTGTTTGTACTTCACAGTTCTCCAGTGGTACTTCCAGTGGGGACCTACTGCCCTTCTCCTTTATCATCTCCTGCACTCTGTTCTTTCTTATGCCTTCATTCTTCCTTCTGGATTGATCTTTCCACTTTCATGATGACAGCTTTAGAAACCCTGCTAATGAAATCCTATAGTGATAAATTCTTTCCATTTCAGTTTTCTAGATATGTCCTTATTTTGTCCTCCTTCCTAGAGATTAGTTTGGCTGGGTATCCAATTCCAGGTTCTGAATTTTTTTTTTTTCCTTTCAACATGTTAGGGTTTCATTCACTGCCTTCTGTGCTGCACACTGCTGGTGAGAAGTCAGCCACCGTTCTAATGTGTGTTTCTTGTAGGTACAGTTCTTTCTCTATGGCTGCTTTTAAGGTCTTCTTCTTGTCTTGATTGTCCTGCAGTATGACACTGTGTATGACCCTGGATTTCTCTTTATTTATTTGGATTAGGATTCATTGGGTTTTCAGAACCTAGTGATTTGCATGCTTTGTTAATCCTAGAAAAGCCTTAGTCAATCTTTACATTAATAGTGGTTCTTACCTTTTTGTCAGACATTCTGTTTACATGTGTATTAGACATTATCATACTGTCTTCTCACACACCTTAATTTTTTCCGTATACTACTTTCTCTCTTCTCCCTGTATTCTGAATAATTGCTTCAACTCAGTCATGCAATTGATCCTTTCAGATGCACAGAATATGCAATTTAAATCATTTTTTGAATTTCTGTTTTAAGTTGTGATACCTTTTAATTCCAGACTAGAGTATTTGTAATTTTTTAAACATCTACCCAAATATTTCCAATATCCTCTTGTTCTCTTTTATTTCTGTCAACATAGTAAACATGTTCATTTTCTATTCTGAATCTAGTAACAAGGAAGTCTGTAATATTTGTGAGTCTAATTCTGTTGCTTATTGATTCTGCTGATTCGAGGTACCTCATTTTTTGCAAGTTTTTATTCAGGAATAAAGGCAGAGAATATTCCAGAGTTGATAATGAATCCACAGAGAATCAACTAATCTCAGCCCAAATAAAAAGAAACCTACATAAAGACATAAAGTTTAAAAAACCAGAATGCTAAAGCAGTTCTCCAGGCAGATAATTTTATTTAAAAGGATCTTGATTTAATAATGCCAAGTCCAGTAAATTCTAGCTCCCTTGGAAGTAGCAAAATACCCTCAGGAAATACATTTCAGTAATGTGTTATTATGCTGTTCTTGTTGTTGTTAGTATTAGTATTTTACTTTCGAATATTTACATCATTATCTTGCCAGCTCAGGTATGCTTTTAGACAATTACAGTTGTTCTGTTTGTTTGTTTTTTAATGAAAAAATCCCTCTCAATATCTATCCTTTTGGTATTCAGTTCTTGGAATGTTGCAGGGTTACTTAGTTATAATGTTACACTATTTCTGGAAATAAAACTCAGAGGTAGATTATTTTTCCAGCTTTTGTGGATTATGGTTGACAAATAAAATTATGTATATTTGAGGTATTTAGCATGATGCTTTGATATATGTATACATTGTGATGATTCTTTAATATTGATACCCAGATGTCATCTAGTGGCAAGTTCCGCTTTGCAGCAGAATGTGTGTACACACATATCACTGCCTTTTCATTCCCCCAAATCAGGCTGCCTACCTGGAATTCATTGGTTTTGTCCATGTACACCTTCAGGCTGGAGAATTAGGCATAGAAAAGTGCAACTATTTTCAAATTGATTAGAAAACAAAGGATTCACCAGGATGGACTAATTTCACATTTGTTTGTCTCCTAAATTTTTTCACCCAATTTTAGTGGAGTATAAAAATGGTATTTCTGTGTATAATTTTTCTTCTCTAGAGTTGCCAGCATAACTACTATGAGGACGCAAAAGCCTATGGATTCAAAAATAAGCTAATTATAGTTGCAGCTGAAACAGCTGGAAATGTATTGTATAATTTTATTGTTCCTCTCAGGGCTTATTATAGACCAAAGAAAGAACTTAACCCCGTAATACTGCTATTGGATAACCTGTAAGTATATCTTAAAATACACGAGCAAGAGAAAAATTTGTTAATATTTTATCAAAAATAATTTAATATAGAATTAAATTTAGAATATTTTAAGTCAGAAACATTATGGCATATATGGGAGATATATTTTGTGCTGTGGTACAAAACAATCATTGAGTATGATTATGTTTCACATATACAACTTAAAACATAACAAGAGTACTCTGAGCCTTTTATTTAAGACTATTTTTGCAAATGGTCATCTCTCTACCAGTGGGAAACATGCCACTGAAATAATTACAGTTATTTTCCTTAAATTAATCTACTAGCCTGGAAAATCTCTGCCAAAAGTGGACAATTTTGTTGTCTTTGTAAAGAACCATTAATTATCAGAGAAGCATATTAATGATCCATTTTATGTCATATGATAACACATCATTGCTTCTTATGATTCTTTCACTGTTAAAACATATATCCTATAACATAACATGAATAGTTTACACTTTACCATGTTCTTTTCTTTAGAAAATGTTTGATTAATATACTCTTATGAAAAAAGACTATTTAAAAATTTCAAGATCCTTATACAGATATAAATATACATCACCGAATGCTGTGGTCAAATCCATTGTGTGTGTGCTAAAATTACGATATTTCTCTCTCTGACTCAAATTAGTAGCAGATGGTCCTTAAATCAATACCATAGTTTAACATCCTCCAATTCTCCTCTTAATTTCTAAAGTGATGCAAATTTGGGGATAAGCTAAATGAGGCCAACATCCACTGCCTTGTCTCTGCTTTTAAAATTTATGAAAAGAATTTCCTCAAAACAGAGATAACTCCCCGATATAACTTCATGACATTATTTATTCTGAATATATGAATATCAAGATTCTCATGGATGCATCTCTTTTTAGCATCAGAATCTCAGTGATAATCAACTCTAAAACTTGAGCACACCTCTAGAGGTTTCAGTTGAAGAACTTTCAGGTCTGATGATGATTCAGTGCTTTTTTGATACCCTTTTGGCATCCAAGGAAAGGTGACATAAATTTAGGGCAGATGTAGGAAAACAAAAATTTAGACCCAATGTCAGATGAAATGAAAGTTTAATAAAGCAAATCCTAGCAGGATAAGAGTAGTTACTGGGTGGCTAGGGTGATAGAACATGGTGCCAGAGCACCTGNACTAAATCATTTCCTTTCTCTTTGGTTTTGAATTAACAAGTTACCAAAATGCCCAATTACTACATTATTGATTGATTGTATAATAGAATTATAAAATCAAGCAGTTGTGTCCACAGTCTTAATTCCTGAATCTGATCAATCATCAATCAAAAAATCTGAAAATTCAGTTTCCCTTAGTTACTGGAAAACTGGTCAGTAATTCAATATAAGTATACATGTAGCTTTTATCAGAGATTATTTTACCTAAATAAGACCATAGTGATCATTTAATAAAATTAATAATCTTTATCACTACCTTCGTTCATTATAGTCAGAATTGCTGAGCATTTACTACATGGTGGTCATCCCAGTAGATACTTAGACTTTATTTCATGTTTTATTTCTATAAAAAATATATCTATGTCATGTAGCATGATTTATCCTCAGAAAGATGTACCAAGCAGCTTAAGATCTCAAAGCTTACAAATTACAATAACATTTAAACAAATTGGTCTGTGCGACTTGATTGCACCACTGTCTCTTATTTCATAGAAAGGAGGAACAGGCCAAAGAAGTTATGTGACTTTTTCCAAGGTCGATTCTAGGATTAGAACCTTCTCTACAATTCATAGCTCATTGTTCTTTCGCCTATGTGATCTTACTTTAGTTAACGGGTTTTTGACATATGCAAAAATACATTATCTATCAATTGTCAAACAAGAATATTTTAACTTTAGGTTATTTTGCACTTAAGTATTTTTGTTTGCTTTCCTAAGGACTTACAGTTTGAAATCCAACTATTCACATGCCTTCTGTTAAATAATTTTAGTGGGTTTGACTTTTCTTCAAAGAGTTGGGATAAAAGTGCTATCTGTAAAATTGACTAGCATCCTGTGTATTTCCCAAAAGTGGTGTCAAACAATTTTATTTGTTGTTCTCTGTTCCTTTGATTGAGAATGAGGAAACAAGAATGAACACCAGTAAATAATGTTCCAGGAAGTTTTATGCAATCCTCTTTTTTTTTTTAAAAAACACTGAAACTGTTTTAAAGAACTTTTTTCTCTTCTGTGGCTAGTATTTTTCAATCTATCCTACAGTATTATAAAGAAATATGATGCTTTCTTTAAAATATTTCTGGGTTATAAAAATTTACACACTAATAATTACACACACTTGTACAATTACTAGTTAGTTTAGTGGGATTTGTCTTTATTTTAAATGAATGTGAACATTGTTAAAAATAATGTCAATGTATGTCTACTTAGGAGATTCAGTGGAAAAACCAGTTAATTCAATGTAAAAAACAGATGCCACAAATATGGGATTTAAAATGTAAATTAAATTTATGATATTCACATACATAATATGTCAAAGTAAGTGTTCATAATGTTTCCAAGTAAAATGCCTTCTGCATTTCATGTGCTAATCTTGCACTGGATACTGGTTCATCAAAACTTGTCTCAGTTCTGATTGGTTGGCCATCTGTTCTATTCTGTTGTGGCACCATACTGATTTTAAACATTTTGATTACCACTTCAACCTTAAAGGTCATCTAGTCATCTGATGATACCATTTCATATGAGAGATGGAAAAGTGAGTCAAAAAAACTTTGGAATATATTACCCAAAGCTACGCTGATTTAAAGTACAAGATTCAGGCTCACCTTCTTAAATTTTACAACATCTTGTTTAACTATCCCTTTACTAAATCAGTCTTCTCTGCACATATAGTTACAAGTAAGCTTCAGTTCAGCTTATTTCAAAAGTAATGGTAAACCGTCTGATGTATCAGGGTCCTTATTTAAAACATTCAAGCCTTAGACTCACACAGGTCTGAAATAAGATCTAAGCTGACCCTCTTGATAGGCTGTATGTTACTGAATTTCTGTAAGCCTCAATTTCCTCATTTGTAAAATGAGAACATTTATCTTATTTTGCAATTATATAAAATAATGTATATGGAGCACTAGTATAGTATCTGACTCATGAAAGCCAGTCCAGAAATGTAGTTTTCCTACCTTGTAGCATTGTCACTATTCAAACTAATGGGTGAGTTTCTGTGAAAACCCAATTAACAACAACAGAAAAAAGGGAAATTTATTTCACGTTGTTGAAATTAAAATGCTACTTCATTTTTAAGGGAGAAATAAGCTTAAAAGTGGGATTATGAAATGCTAGCAAAATAAACTGTCTCATACATTTTTGAATTTGAAATTAAAAAAATTGAGTTTATAATAGTGTTAGTTGCTCAACTGTGTTCAACTCTTTGCAGCCCAATGGACTGTAGCCCTCCAGGTTTCTCTGACCATGGGATTCTCCAGGCAAGAATACTGGAGTGGGTTGCCATTCCCTTCTCCAAGGGATCTTCCTCACACAGGAATTGAACCCAAGTCTCCTGAACTGTAGGCAGATTCTTTACCATCTGAGCCACCAGGGAAGCCCCCAAGTTTATTATAGTTATTAGTTAAATGGAGAATAATGATCTTCAACTTGAAAATCCATGAAATTTCATAAAACTTTTCATTTCTTATCATTAACTGGTTAATTCATACTTGTGTATAATCACAATTTTTGTAATGAAAGTCTTTGTAAAGATATTTGGACTCATAAATAGTCATCTTTATTAACTGAATTACAGATAAGACTGATTAATGATGTGCTCACTTTTTCTTTAGTAATCAGTTTAGTGCCATAAAGACCTTTGCCAATTTACTTAAGTGTGTCGGCATAGTACATATGAATGTATGATTGATATATTCCTTATATTTCAGGTGTCCTTTTAAGCCACCTTTATCAGTAAAAGTAGTGGGTGGATCTATTTACTATACAAGTCAAATTTTGCAAAGTATGACTTCACCAGTGACTCAAGTGGTAAAGAATCCACCTGTAATGCAGGAGGTAGAGGAGATCAGGGTTCAATCACTGGGTTGGGAAGATACCTTGGAGGAGGAAATGGCAACCCATTCCAGTATTCTTGTCTGGAAAGTCCCATGAACAGAGGAGCTTAGCAGGCTACAGTCCATAGAGTCGCAAAGAGTCAGACAGGACTTAGTGACTGATCACACATGCACATGGCATACTAGACTCCCTACATATATACTGATGATATACTTCATCAGAATTATGTATTTACCATGTTTCAGATGACTTGCCTTGCCTTGTAACATTGCTGGATTCATCTAAGGATGAACTGTACTGCCATAATACAGATGCTAATTTCTAAAGATTTGAAAGATTGCTTGTGCATTGTATAATAAATGCATGTTTGTGGCAGAATGGCATGTCTATAAGATTGACAAGTTTCCTAACAACAGGCCATAATTTTGATGTTTAAGTACTTTGAATGATTTCTACTCAGCAGAGCAACAAAATGCAAAGGCCAGATCATCAGTTTTAACTCTAATAGAAGGGTTGGCATAACATAAAGACTTACTTTGTTCCTTGTGACCCCAGTACTTCTCATCACATAGAAAACTTTTTGGTATCTTTATTAAGTTGAAGTATTTAATAACATCAACTATTGTTCCAAGTCTTTGGAAGACAGATATGTACAGTGGACAAATGGTCAGAGAAGGAAGTGTAAACAATGGAAATGATCTGGATTTTTAAAATTAGGAGATTATTTCACACAGGGTATAGCTGTGTGATTAATAACAAGGAATTATGAATGTAATTCTGCTATGTAAGTTATTGAGCTATTCATGTTATCTGACTGGAACTATGTAAGAGCAAAGAGAGATGAAATAATGACCACCAAAATGACACAGTCAAAAAGATCTTTGAAAGCACCACAGAACCTCAGTGCTGTCCCAGCCTGTGTCACTCAAATTCTAATATCTTCTTCTATAACCAGAAGGCAGGCAGGAAACATAGGTCTGAAATGAGCAGTGTGAATATCCCTTCTAATTGTCAGAAGCAGCACCCAGAAAGAGAAGAATTGGCAGGCACTAGTCAAGACGGCTCCTGGGAGTAAATATGATTCTATTTGTGAAACCAATCTATACCATGAGCTTTAAAAGTATTTGTTTCCTGTGATTCACTAATGGGAAAACTTGTATGCATGTTTTGGGGCAAATGATGAAACCAAATGCTAGGAAAAAAGTCACCAAAAAAAGTCCAGAGCCGTAATTTTTATAATAGCAAGATGTTAGAAATAGCTTGTCACTCCAGGGATTAATAGCATAAAAGTGAAAATAACTTAGAAACTGAATAATTGAGGTTTTTCTTTTTTAATGAATTGTTGTACATTTATAATATGTGGTAATATGGGACCACTTAAAATGGCTAGGAAGTCTTTTTAGGAATGATGGTGTGAATGTCATCAACAGTGAGATTCTTTAGATGTTTTCTTTTTATGATTCACTGGACTAAATATTATTTTTCTTTAAAATGAAGAGAGATGAAATTGATCAACAGGAAGAAATGAATCAGGGAGGAGAGACTAATGGCTGGGATGCTGTCGGGGCTGTGCTCCCCGTTGCCTAGAAGTCCTCTTTCCTCCCCCTTTCCTGGTCCATTTCCTACTCATCCTTCAACATCCATATTAAATATTTCCTCTATTTTGTATCCCGAATGCAACCCATTCCTTATTTTTCAGTATATTCTATAATTTTGTGCTTTTACATATGTGTTACAAAAACTCTATTTCTTGTAGTACGAGCTAACACGATACATATATATATTTTGCATACACCTTAGTATACCAAAATGTCTATTATGGAAAGCTTTTGAATTCAGAGATGCTGAGTGAATAGATGAATGAAAGAATTGATAACTTTATGAAATGAATGCAATGGATTAGGTAATTTGTAAGGAAGCTTCCAAGTTTCTGAGTCTTTCCCCAAATGTGCTTAAAGAGTAAAGATTTCAGTTGTAATACAATTTGCTCAACAGTGTATATTGAGAAAAAAAAAGTGTATATTAAGAAAAGTATAAAAGGTGAAATACTTTTATTTTAATTCTGTATTTTATATATATACACACACACACACATATATATATTGCATGGGTACATATACTATATTTTTTATTCATATGTTGATATATTAAGGGACATGTTGTGATTCTGTATATCTCTTAGAGAAAATTAGATAGACACACTAATTTAGTTTATTATATTTTATATCATCAAAAAAGTCACTAGTTTCCCATTTTACAAGACTTTCTCAGGATGAATAATTTCAAACTCATTGGAAAGACTTTTTAGTCATAAACTAAGAGTATAAATTTGGTGTTTTTGTAGAATATTGCCATAATGTTTCTGATTTAGGAAGCAAAAATGTGACTTTTTCTTTTAATTAGTGAGTGCTTTGTATTATTCGTAACAAGTAAAAATGACATTTTAAAATTAATGTTAAGAGAAAAGTCACTTTAAAATTAATCTTGTCAATGGCGTTTAGTATTGGAAATGAGAACTGAGTCAGCTTACTTCCTTCCCCGGAAGCCTGCCGCTGTTGTGACACTGTGTTTCATTTTGTAACCCATGTGCTGCTTAGGCCAGACATGCACTTTCTGGATGCCATCTGTTGGTTTCCAATGGTTTACTACATGGTGGGCTCTATTGACAAGTAGGTGACGAAATCCTTGGCACCCTCACCAGTGTGGCGTCCCGTGCCTGTCATGCGCTGTGCCCGGTGCTGCATGTCGAGTGCAGCTTGCCATTTCAGTGTTGTGAATGTGACCTACATTGCATGTGGAGCTTGTGTTCTCGTGTCATACGTCTTGCATTCAAACTCTCTAAGCAGTAATCTGTTGTTGAGTTAAACAACTCTTGTTGCATGTCAGTCTTGTTCCATTTCTAAAACCACTTCAGTGCTGTGCCATCTACAGCCTTAAGATTCGTAACTGTTGACATGTGATAGAGAAAACCTAGAAGTTCAGCACTGTGCTGCATTTGGTGTCAGTACCGTTGCTTTTGGAAAACTTCAACATAATTTGGAAATGCTCATTTTTAAGTCAAATTTATTAACTGGAGCATTTCCTTAGTTCATTCTTAGAACATATTGAAGTCTGTAATTTCTAATAATTTGTTAATTAAAGGTCAAATGTGTGTGATCCTTCAGCTTTAAAATACAAATTCCTTTATATGCATGAACATGACATTGTAACAAATGCTAAAATTAAAAGATCATAAAACTAATATGCTTATAAAATGTATCAATCTTCCACTCTATAAAACATCAGCCAGAGCATTGCAAATAAAATGCTGAAAGTTATCCACTGAGAACTCCCGTGTTTACATTTCTCAAAGTTACATTGTAACTTTGAGAGTGTTTATTGACTGTGGATACATTAATGGCCAAATAGATTAACACACATTTAGCCTTCATTCTACATGAATATGCCTGGGTTTCCCTGCTAGCTCAGTGGTAAAGAATCCACCTGCCCATGCGAGAGATGCAGGTTCGATCCCTGGGTTGAGAAGATCCTCTGGAGGAGGAAATGGCAACCCACTCCAGTACTCTTGCCTGGAGAATCCCGTGGACAGAGGAGCCTGGCAGAATGCTTTCCATGAGGTTGCAAAACAGTTGCAAACAAGTTAGCAACTAAACAACTACATTAATATAATTTACATTACTGCTATCATAAGACTAACCAACTAATTAAAATATGGAGGTACTAAAACTACTATTTGAATCCATGAAAGTGAAATCAACCCATATTTTATCATTAGTAATGTGATATTAATAGTATTCTATTAAAATTCATTAGGATATTTTATTTAAAAGATACAAAATAAACCTCTCATCCATCTTTTCTGATGTAAACTAAAATGAATTCTCCCTTTATAAAAGTGTTAATGGGGAGGAAAAGAAGAATGGGAAGGATCAAATTCCTAGGATCAGAGGTGAAACAGGATTGACTACAAGACACCGATTATTGAAACTGGGTAATTGGTACAGGAGATTCACTATAGTATTCTCTTCTGCTAATGTTTGACGTTTTCCTTAAACATAAATGAGCAAACAAAATCTATGAAGGAATTTAAACGCTTTCACAAACATTCCTCTATATTTATAGCTTTACATTCTGGTTCTCCTCAAAAAAGAAGTCTTAGAGAAGGGTAGAATGAGAGACATTGCCAGTTAGATTCTCTGTAACTTTTTCAACCATATTGACCTTTTTCTTGTGCCGCCATCTGGTGGCCAAACTGTGTAAAGCACTCATGCTAAATTAAAAATAGTGTCTTTGTAGATAAGATAGTGGGAAGAAACTGATACACACAGAATTATAAAAACAAATTGGTAGTCTACTAAAAAGATAAAGAATAAAATGCAATTTTAAATGAATACAAATAAGCTAAAGTTAAAACATGAAGAATAAAGATTCTATGTGACTCAAAAATGCCACTCTAATGTATTAATAATCTATAGATCCTATAAATTTCTTTAGATTTAAATTCATATTCAATAATAATTACTAAAATCATTTGCCAATGTTATGTGTAAACTAGTATTTTGAGTATGGAATTAACTGATATGTACAGGTTTGGCTAGCTAGTAACTGTTTAGTACAAATATTCTCATAGTGAAGTGTTTTTGTCAAGTCTCAACTTCCTTGATTTATTGACGATGAAATATTCATTTTATTACAACTTCTGTGTATAATTTTTTGATCAAGATTACCTTCTATTACATTAACTTTTCCTTTTCCTATATAGACAATTTGTTTAGTGGGGGAAATAAAGATCATAAGAGCTGAAATATGAAAAAGTGAATTAACACTATAATAATAGAGTGTGAAGCCATAAGATTTAGCATCATTTTTATGGTCCCCAAGGGATCATATTTGCTTTTCACCTTCTTCTTTCATTTAAAAAGTATTTTAATAAATGTAAGAATAATTATAAATTTCCTAGATAAAAGGAACACCCTAGTGAAGTATTCCTGGAGATTTAAACTTGGTCATCATATTGATTAGATATTATGGTCCTGGACCCTCTCACCATAGGAAATTTATTTGGGATAACATTCTGTTTTCACAGTTTTAGTCATAAAACCCCTGCTATAGAACACTGTGCCTGATTCAAGCAAAATATTTTTTCTGGACTATTTCTGGGGATTTTGGACTCAAAGCTTTGGTAATACTCTGTCGCCATTTAACAGAGTAAGAAATCTTGCCTCTTGCCTTCCTGTAAAAGGAAAATAATCCCCTCTAATGTGAGACGGCTAATTCAAGGGATCATGCAATTTGAGACAATCTTTAGGAGAATTAACTGTTCCATTTAAGAATCTAAAAGGAGCTACTGCTCTTTGAGCTTTACGCTTTTTACTTTAAATTGGAAGATGTAGAAATCAGTTATCCCAATTCTTCTTATTTGTCTTCAGTCAACTCTGAACCTAGAATACCCTTGCATTCACTCGAGTATAATCTCCCTTCTCCAATTCAGTCCTATTTTTGAAATTTGTGTGAAGCAGAGGCAATGAGAAAGGGCTTTCCTGATTCAGCTTTTGCTATAACATTGTTTTTAAATTCAGTGCTAGGTAAATTTTTTATCAGTGATAGGGGAGATGACTGACTCTGTGGTAACTCATATGAACTTGTGTCTTAGTTTACCAATTGTTTCCTGCAACCAACAAATTTAATTCATTTAATCAGTTGCTCAAAAAATGTCTAAAAGGTAGGCTTGAAAGCAAATCATATTTATATATTTTACATGCTTTTGGCTGTGTAGAACCAATCTATAAAACATAGTTTCACACAGATAAATAGACATTTAAAAATAAATATCTCTAATAAATATATTTCCCTGTTAGGCTTGACCATCTAAATTAATATATGTTCATTTCTATTCTTACCAGAAGTGCCTCAGAGATTAAAAAAAAAATGCAAATGCCATGTTTCTGAAATAATATGCTAACTGTAAAAACAAAATTCTAACATGCTCTCATTCTGTTTGTTTGCAAAATTGGTGTTTTCAGGCTTTATTTATAAAATTCACAAATATTATTAAAGAAAATCCTTAATGCATATGCTTTGAAATTATTGAGATCTAATGAAGCATAAAGAACCCCCAAATGCAATTTATTTCATATCTCTGGAGAATATTGTATTGTATTAGTTCCCACAACATCTTTCAGTGTCCACTCCATGCAAGCCACCTACAACAGTAACCTCTATGCCTATAACAGTGGGGAGTGGGTAGGTGAGTTTCAGCACCATCCGAATGCTGAGATTTATTGAAAGTTCACCTTTCTCTGTTGATTTTTATCAAAGCCTCGATGACTTACTCAGGTGTGGAGTGACTTTTGCTGCCAACATGGTGGTCGTGGACAAAGAAAGCACCATGAGCGCCGAGGAAGACTATATGGCGGATGCCAAAACCATCGTCAATGTGCAGACCCTGTTCAGGTAAACGTCTGGACAGCCCGCCCCTTCCGCTGACTTACTGCTAACCGTCTGTGAAATACCTGCCTCTGTCGCTAAGGAATGAGCATGAGGCACAAACAAGTTATGTAAATTCATTCGATCATAAAACAGATATTATTTAGGACCTAACATGTGACTGGTCCTATGTGAAATTTAATTTTTAATACAAGGTCAGCAATTCTTTTAAAAATAAAAAGGATAATACATCTGTTTTCTTATACAGTTTAACAAATTCTAAAAAAATTGTGTGCAGTAGCAGTCATGATTTTTTTTTTTTCTTGTTGTGCATGTTCTAATTTTGCTTTTATGCCTAGCAGAGGCCAAAGGTATGCATTTACATACTGAGCAACCAGGAATAAAAGATTGCAAGGCTCATTTACCCATGTCAGGAGCTAAATCATAAGCTTATCCTCGCTGTTTTACTGCCTTTTGTTAATTCAGCCCACCCAGAGAGGAATTCCTGTTATCTTTGGGTAAGAATGTGCAATACCAGCCAGATAAAACTTCATGCTGCAAGCAAAATCAAAATCACTAATAGGAACTTTTCTGGCAGTCTAGTTAAGGCTTCACCTTCCAATGCAGGGGTTGTGGGTTCAATCTCTGTATTACAGCAAATTCAATAAAGACTTTTTTAAATGGTTCATAAAATAAAGAAAAAAAAAAACAGTCAATTTACCTCTAAAAAAGAGTCACCAGTAAATTGAAACATCTGCATCACTTGGAATGATTCTTTCTAAAAGCATTTAACATTTAAATATCAAAAAGATCATTATTTCAGTTTTATGAGTTTTGCAAAAGTCTAAAGCAAGTATGTGAGCTGCCAAATTAAGAAAATAAACAAAACAACCTGAACTTTATTTTTTTCTCCCCTCACTTCATACCTTCGTATTATAGCAGAACATATATTGAGGGTAGTTATCTGTTTACAGTTGGAGGTCAGAATTTAGGAGAGTGGAGATTTGTGTCTCACTTAGGTTGACTATTTATTACATGATCTTAGGTAAATTCCTTTCCTTCTCTAAATCTTGATGTCTTAATCATAAGGTTGTTGGAGATTCAACAACATATACCTGCCTGGTCATTTTCAGTTTCTCAGTAAATGTTGTGCTCGACTCAACTCTTTGTGACTGCTTGGACTGTAGCCTACTGGGCTCCTCTGTCCTTAGAATTTTCCAGGCAAGAATACTGGAGTGGGTTGTCATTTCCTTTCCCGGGGACCGTCCCAACCCAGGAATCAAACCTGTGTCTCTTACATCTCCTACATTGGCAGGCGGGTTCTTTACCACTGTGCCACCTGGGAAGCCCCAATCCATGTTGTGTGTGTTGTGCTAAGTCGCTTCACTCATGTCTGACTCTTTGCGACCTTTTGGAGCCCCCCAGGCTCCTCTGTCCATAGGGATTCTCCACAAGCTCTGGGAGATTGTGAATGACAAGTAAACCTGGCGAGCTGCAGTCCATGGGGTCACAGAGTTCGACATGACTTAGCAACTGAATACATGTTGTCACAAATGCAGAATTTCCTTCTTTTTAAAGGTTGAATGATGTTTCTTTATATATATCATTTAAATTAGATAGAAGAAAAGCATTCCAAATAAAAATATGTTTATAGCCTCTCAAAAAAAAAAAAAAAAAAANCTAAGTGTGACTTTGAGTGTATTTCTTAACCTCGCTGAAATTCAGTTTCCCTCACCTATAAAGTGCATGTGGAGAATAATTAACTCTTCTTGCAGTATCAGTATGAAGATAGAAAATCACGTATGTATAGAATCTCTCCAGCACCTGGAAAATCTACCATGAACTTGCCTAGAACCTCCTCCTGTTCAGAAGGAGTAATACATTATCTGAAGTCACTGTAATGGGGCAGATCATTTAGAATATAGCTCACTAGTCATTGAGCTACTACTTACAAATGTAAGTAGTACATTTAAAAGCATCATAACACATGCTTAAAATATGACATATTATATATAAGCATTTTTTCTTTCCTCTAGAGAATGTAAAAGGAAATACAGGGTAGAAAATTAATGCAGAAGGATGAGACTTATAGCCAATGAATAAAGTCAAGTCATAGTGTTTTATTTCATGCTTGGCAAAAGCTAATTATAGTTTTAGCAGGAGAGGGTCCTGGGTCTTTAATTAAGCATGCCATTTTAATTTTCAACTTACTGTGAGTTTATTTGTATTATAGTGAAATTTCTATTGATTTGATATATGCTCTGAATGAATTATTTGTATGTCAAGAGAATAATAAATCCCCATTTTACTGAGAGATGCAAAGTCTCTAATTAATCATTTAAAATGAACCAGATGCCCAGAATACCTAAGGGCAGATACACATGTGCTTGCTGATGGTGGCAAGCCTGCCTGCCCTGAGTACCTGGTGGAGGAGGACCAACTCTTGAAAGGATGGATGGAGAGCAAACGTGTGCCTTTGGACCTTTTCACTGTTAAAAGTTACCTATCTTTCACAAGATATTTTAGAAATTATGCAATTTGTATAGTGCAAAAATACATCTAGACTGAATAGTTTCAAACAAAATTTGAGAAGAACTATTAGATACCCAGATTCTGTTCTTCTCTTTCCTCTGTTCATAAAGGCGTTATTATTTATCTAAGTACAAAACAGTATTTTTCAGGAAAAAAGATATTTTAGACCCATAGATAGAGAAAACCAATTTATGGTTACCAAAAGGGACAAGGGGAGGAGGGATAAATTAGGGGCTGGGATTAACATATGCACACCTCTATACAGGGAGGGCTTCCCCGGTGGTTCAGCAGCAGTGAATCCACTTGCCAATCAGAACACATGGGAGACTCGGGGTCAATCCTGGGTCAGGAAGATCCCTTGGAGAAGGGCATGGCAGTCAACTCCAGTATTCTTTACTGGAGAATTTCAGAGGCAGAGTAGACTGATGGGCTGCAGTCCATGGGGTCACAAAGAGTCAGACACGACTGCGCATGCACACAAGGCAACTACTATATATAAAATAAATAACCTATAAGGGAAAAGAACTTGAAAAGGAATAGGTGTATAGGCATATATAACTGAATCACTGTGTTGTACACCTGAAACTAATGCAACGTTGTAAATCAGCTATAATTTTTAAAAAATACAGTATACTTAAATAAATGTTAAAGAAATCTAGGAGACTTTTTGATGGAGTAATTCATCAGTTAATTAGCCATGCTCAGCTAGGCTAGTCTTACATA